CTCATAAAAGCCATAGCACATGCTTGAGGTCAAAGGACAACCTTAGATATCAAGCCTCATCTTCTACCCTGCTTGAGACAGGGTGTCTCTGTGGTTTTTCCCCCTGCACACATCAGGGTGGCTGACTGACCTATAAACTCCCAGCAATTTTCCTGACTCCTCCCATCTCTCTGTAAGAACCCTGGGAATACAGATGGTCACATTACAAATTCAGGCTTTGAGGCTCTTAGGATTTGAACTCAGGTCTTCAATGTTTATGTGGCAAAGTCTTTTATTCACTGAACCATCTCCTCAGTACGTCATCACTTTTTCTAAATGTCAAGTGTGTAAATCAGGATTATTCTGTAAAATTACTATATAAGTTTTAAAGTTGTCAACTAGCTTCTGAAATAGTGTGCTGTCAATAGGCAATTATGAATGGACTGGTTGTAATTACTGTGAGTAGAGAATTAACAATGTTGGCCTTAATTCTGGGATAAATCAGTCCTATTCAGGAAGTTCTTAATTATATTTATTTATCCTGAGCAACAACAAAGTGGTATGAATTCATACACCACTGTTGCTCAAATGAAACATGACATTATGGTGTAAGTTCAAGGTAGCCCAGCTCAGAGCTATTTGCAAAAGAACAAAGACTCACCATGAGAAGAGAGACCTCATGGTTTTATCTAAATCTTAAGAATGATCATATTCAATAGCAATCCTTTTCCTCCTCTTAAAGTGTTATCTATTAGCAATAAGGCAAATTAGGATAGCTTCATTACTGTGTGAAGCTGAAAACAAATATTTACATCTTGTCATGTCATAAAACTCACTGTTAACTCAAAAAGTATTTTTCAAATTATCAACATGACATGAAATTCTTTCTTTTAACTTGGTAGAGATAATTTAACATTTACTGAGTAGGGGTTTTCTGAAATTAGTTAGACCATGACAAGTTCTGAGACAGTATTCTCAGAAAGGGTTCAGTTCCTGCCAGCTACAGTCATCACTGTTGAACAGAAAGCTTCCACCTGCTCTGGGGAAGGTCTAGGTAAAGAGTGCAACTCTTGACTGTGCATCAATTTCCATCCCAGATCTCCCCTTTTCCACAGAGCTCTAGGCACAGCCATCTGTCAGTTTCACCAAATCCCACGTTTCGACCATCTCAACTGAAAAGCAAGCTCCATGAAAGCAGAAACCTTTCACCAAAGCCTAGATGTGTCTTCTGCAAACAAACCATCCTACACAAATAAATAGACAGAGGGAAGAGAGGAAGGAATACAGGAAAGAAGTAAATGTTAACGTCTTCTTACAATTTTACAAAGCTACTTCTGATCAATACAGTTTTCAAGTACTTTCCCTCTCATGTCTCAGTACTAGCACGAGGCAGCCCTCAGTCAAATTTCTACTTATACACAACTTTTGTACCACCTGAAAGGAGTTTCATCTCTCATATCAAAAGGAGCCATTTGCTAATTTAATCATCTCCGTTATGCCCTTTGAAAGATATCTGACATCTAATTTTGAGTTACACTTAACCACTACTCCCAATCTCATTCAAAGTAAAACAGAATTATCTCCTTGTTAATTGATTATCTGGTAAAGGCAAAGAAAACATTGACAGTCTGACCTATGTTAGTCCCAAGATCTACATTTTACATGTACAATTAATTGAAGAGTGGCATCACTTCAATGTTTACCCACACTTAAAGTATGCTTATGCTGATGACATTGGTTTGAGTCCCACAGATATTAGAATCTAGCAGAATGTATCATCCCAGGATTATGAAGTACTCATTCAAACCAGGGGCTCCATTTCTGGTCTCAATTACTACCCACATGACCTCAACAACTTAAGTTCCCTCTCATCTTCAAATGAAGGAAATCACAGTGGTGCTAAGAATGGGATGGTAAAGGCAGATTGGCACTTTACATAAATTCTCAATAGCCAGAGACACAGTTTGTAGGCTTATAGAGAGCGACATAGAAGACCAGAATTCCCAGCGAGGCCTGTACCTGACTAGTAATCATCTGATAGACACCTGCTGTGTGAATGTCCACGGTGACCACTGTCTACCTGGTTGGTGCTGGCCATGTGGCAGCTCATTCACCGCTCTTCACTGATGCTTCTTTGGGGTCTGCTGCTTTTCCTCCACAAACACAAGGTGTTTTGTAGACTTGAGCCTACAAAACCCAGGCTTGCAGGCATACCGTAAGTGCTTAAGCAGGGAGTGGTCCAAGAGCGACTTCAGAGCTGTGAATACCAGCACATGCCACTCTAATTTTTCTCTTGACAGTTCTGCTGAGAAAAGCTAGCCAGGGATGATGGTCAACTCTGAGCCGAGAATCAGGAATGCAGACTGTGTCGCTGGGTAAGTTCACCTCCTGTATATAACCAGTTGGTGTGCTTTGCTGGCCTTCAGAACGTCACTGTGGCTGCTCCGCACCAGGTATCAGTCTGTCTTCTGTTTTGCACCTTTCTGCTTCCTAACAAAAGTGGACGGTGGAACACCAACTGGTTGAAATCCTGCTGATAAGAATCCCTTCTCCTTATTGGTTTTGGTGCTGAGTTTTTGAAGGTGAGGAAAGTCAAGTAAGCTGTGCCATGCCAGCCTGAGACCCTTCCCTTAGTTCCAGTATTCCAGGATTTTCCTGCTCAGATCTCCATTACCACTGCACTTCCCTGTGCTGGGTGCTACCTTCCAGAGCTGTGTGTTGACCACCCCCTGCAAATCTACATGCAAAAATGAAAACCTTCTGTAGGACAGCATCCCAGAACACTGCGGAAACCAAAGGGCAGATGGAGATATCCAAAGGAAACACTACTTAACTTAAATGGTCCACTCCAGAGTCACACAATGAACAAATACACAGGGGAAGGAAATGGACACTCTTGCCTCTATCTGAGACTTAAAAGCATACCCCCCACCACCACACATACACACATACACGTGTGGCTGCAGCTCTACGGTTTGTTAATTTTTCATCCATGCATGAAATTAACCAAGTACACTGCACCCCTACCGTGACCCAGAACAGTACTGAGGCTTATTTCTGTAGCTGTGTTAAGTGCACGCACCAGATATTATGTGCACTTTTGCACTGATCCATAGCTTCTCAACTTTTGTGAAGATCCCAGGGCAGAAACTGAGCAACCCTGCTACTCAGTGGTTCTCAGTACTCAGCTGTGCTCAGCAGGGTAATTTTCCCTAAGTATATATGTACTTAAGTAGTACCTACCAATTATACCTCTTTGGTAGAGTGCAACTATGGTATTCCCACTATTTCAGACATGCTTTTACCAACCACCTAACAATGAAGATTCTTTGTTCTCCTTTAGGGTACAGAAGCAGTGGATGGCAAGGGTTCTGTATCAGGTATAGGGCAGTGGTGATTCTTATCTTCATTAACATGTATGAACTACACATATTCACAGCATGCAGTGTCCAGCATGTACAGGTCAAACCAGTGTCATTCACATTTCCTCCTCTTGGTCATTTCTTTATGTTGGGAGCCTTTGAACTTCTCTCTTGTAGATCACCATAGTTTACTGTGAGCTGGTTACTCCTCTACACAGTGGGACACCAGAACTTAGCCCTCCTCTCTGACCTCTCTGGTATCTAACCTCTGATTTACCTCACCCTACCAGCCTCTAGTAAGCATTATGGGACAGTGAAATCAACGTTTTAGCTTCTGCATATGAGTACAAACATACAATCTTGAATTTTTAGCACATGACTTACTTCACTTAACATAATATCTGCCAGGTCTATCACGTTGCTGCAAATAACCAGATTTCATTCTTTGGGGGGGGGGGGCGATTCGTGTTTCATTTTGTAAAGACATCACTGTATTTTTTATAGTGCTGGAGATTGAACGCAGGCCCTCATGCACACTAAGCAAGCCCTCTATCAACTAAGCTCCATGCCCTAGACACACTGTTTTATTTGGGCTCTGAGAGTTAAGCCAGAGAAGACCTGTTCTCCAGAAAATACCATGCTTCTAGGATACGTGTTTCCACAGTGTGGAGTACTTATGACATGGTACCAAGTTCAAATTCTCCAAGGCCCTGAGATTACACAAAGGACAAACAATCATGTGTACAGCATGTATTGTAGGACCAAATACCAAGCTGCCTGCCCATTCATATTTTATCTCACAAGTTATACTCAAAGAAAACCGGAGAGGATACTGGACCTGAAGTCTTAACCTGCAAAGGACAGACCTTCCTGCATAGATTTGGGATCCTGGGTAGTCATACTTAGCATCTATACTCAGACTTCCTGTCCAGGGGGGAGCAACAGACTTAACGTCAGAAATTTCAGAAAGACATAGGTGAGGAGGGCCAAGGGTAACTTCATCGATTTGAGTTGTGTTAGCATGATTCTGGGCTCTGCCTCAAAATACCTGTATGATTTTTTACCACTAAATCAGACTTGTTCTTTTCCCATCCCACCCCCCATTCCACTCCACCTGCCACATCCACACTCCTCTGACTCTCTCCTCATTCTGCTGTTTTCCTTCTACCATTCTCAGGAAGCCCTGGAGGTTCAGGAATGAATCATGGCATGGGGCACATGGTGGCATCCTGTACTTGGTTGATACCTTCCATGTTTCCTTTGAGGAAAATATGATTAACTTCCTGATGACTTGATTTCCCGCCATTACCCTGAAGATCTACACAGATCATATAATTCCTTCCACTTGAAAACTGGTTTCAAAACGCCATCTTCTTTTGTGTTCTATTCTTGTTTTCAGGGCAACTGCCGACATACGCACAGTTCTGGATTTTATTTTAAGTAATTTGTAGTTGACTATCGTTTATTTGTGCAATTGGTATAATTAAATCTAATTATATAATTGGTGAAAGACTGAGTAATCACATAATTAGAATGTGCAATAATAACTGTTGCAATCCCATTGTTATGACGTGTAATGATACAATTATGATGTGGAACAATGAGGTGGCATTTATAGGGTACCCGGCAAAGGAAGGACCCTCCAGGCCTTCCTGCATGGAACTCAGCAAAGGCTGGAGCTCCGGACAGCAGCTGCCAGCATCCATCACTATCTGCTAATCTAAGCCTGGAGAGTGATGATCTGGAACATCAACTCTGGAGGAGAGGGAAAGTACTTCTGGCCAGACACTCCAAAACCCAAACTGCCCTGAAGTTCAGAGTGGACTGTGGGTTCCCCAAACTGTTATTTCTCCATGGCTGTTCTCAATTTAAAAAAAAAACTCCATTGGGGCACATGAGCGGGGGTAGCAAAGGACCTCGTGGTCACATGCACTATTACAAGTTGTCTCGGGATGACGGCTGGAGAGGAAGCGCCAGGCTCTGTCCTTCTCAGGTATGCTAACACTTGCCGTCTTCCTAATAGGGGCATGGAGATAGACCATGAGGAAGGAGCTATCTCAGCTTTTGCTCTCTTGATTGGCTGTGACCCCAAACCTCACTGCAGGCAATCCTCCCATTCCTGGTCCCCAGGCTGGATGAGTTGAGCAGCAGCAGCTGTGGCGTTCCCAACTGCTCATTCTTCCACACTCTGCGCTCTCCTGTTCATGTCTCCCACTTGCTTTGTCTCAGAGAAGGCTGCACATCCTAGATCCCCCAGCTGGCATCCCTCAGCTCTGAGCCCTGCTTCACAGTCCCCCCTCCCCCCCCCCCCCGTACATTTCTGCTGCCCATCAACCTGCCCTTCCACACACACATATCCTCTGCCCCATGCTACACCAGTACCTGGGAATCTGCAGATCTCTGGGAAACACTGCACAGGCCAGGGGACTGGTTTCACTTTCAATTTGTTCCTCAGTACTAATGGTCAAGCTGCCCTTTTTCTCAAATTGGTTTGCTTTCTAAGGCAACTATTTTAGTTTTTCTTCTTTCTTTGCACTTCATCAGTTTTCTGTGACTATAATAAAATACTTGAGGCTAGGTACTTTATAACGATCAACTATTTGACTTGCAGTTCAAGAGGCTCCAGGCATCACACTGGCATCACCTCCACTCTGGTAAGGTCCTTAAGGAGGATGGCATCACAACAGTAGGAGAACATGCTGCATGGACAGGTAGGACAGGAAGTCAGAGCACTGGGAAGGGTCTATCTTGTACCTCTCACTTGGCCACATTTCTGGAAGGTCTCATGACTCTGAGACATCACCTAAAGACCAGAATCCTAACACAGGAACCTGCAGGGAACAAATCACATCTAAACCACAACACTTCTCTCTTTTTCCTGGTCCCTTCCTGTACCACCAGCTCAGCTGATGTTCAGTTCATAATGCCAATAAATTCAAGCAAGAAACGGAACCAAGCCTCACTCTTTGCCACTAGCGACCCGCCTACTCTGTACTCATACATATGCAAGCACCTCCTTCTAGCCTCTCTTCAGGTAAGAGACCAAGCCTTCCTAAACGAACCTTCAGCCTGCCCTGTCGGAGTTGCCACAGCAATTATCCCTTGCTCCAGAGCTCTGGTGCCAACATGCAAAGTGACTTCCTTGCCTCAGCCTGCCTGGCACTGCTCACCTTGTTGCCCACTAACTCTTCACGTGTCAGGGACGCTGACCATATCCCTGTGTCAAACTCCACGGGAATTCTGAGCTCCTGTCTTCCCAGCCTTTGGCAGGTCGCCACTCCCTCCTCCCTGAAGCAGTCTCTTGCCCGGCTTCCTGCTACCACCCCTATCTTCTCACTTATGTTCTTCCTCAGTTTCCTATCCAGGTTTCTCCTGCTCCATTCTGCTCTTAAATGTCCATAAACCTCTCATTTCATCCTCAGACGTTATCCTGTTAACAGTTCAATGTAAAATGTTCCCCCACGGGCTTATGTCCCCAGCTGGCTGTTTTCCAGGGGTTGTGGAACCATTGGGATGGGAGGTATGGTACGCTAATCTCTGTCACTCAGAGAAGACACTGCAAGTTACCTTATCCCAGTTCCTTCTTTCAGGTGGTGAAGACCTCTTTGTCTCCTGGTGTGATCTGCTGCCTCACACTCCAGCACCGAATGTCCCAGCCAAGGCAGCCAATATGCTTTCCTGTCCTAACACTGCGAGTTCAAATAAACCCCTGGGTTGCCTGTGTCAGAGACTGTCTCCATAACAAGAAAAGTGGGCCACACACACAAAGAAGACAGGGAAGGAGCCCGGAGACTTGCTGAGAAGTCAGGTTCCAGCAGGAGACCCCGAGGGAAGGGGGAGGGGAGGGGAGCGGGGTGTGTAAAAATGTATCATGATAGAAATGTATGAAACTGCCAAATATATCCAGCAATCCATCAACCTCAGGGCCCAATTGGGTGGACAGAGAAAAGGAAGAGGACTGGGTGAGAGATGAAGATCGGAGCACAGAACCAGACACCCAATCAGGCAATTTTCAAACACGACAATCCCTTGAGCCACCATTACTAAGTTTCACAGTTGTGAAAACTGGGTGGCTTCCTTCTAGGAGGTTCTGTGATTATGTCACCCAGCCTAGTAAAACAACAACAACAACAACAAAACCAATTCTTGTCCCTTTGTTACCACCATCACGTGAGATGGCTTCAGGCCAAGTGTTTTGTAGTGCCCAAAGAATCACATATAAGTAATAAATAACCATTTGCTCAGCTTCAAAAAAAAAAAAAAAAAAGGTAAATTACTCAATTTCACTAATCTAAGTTAGCACTAACCAAAAAATTTATTTGATGTATCACCAAGAAAAAAAAATTAGCAGGCCAGGCTGCAGTCAGACACCCATCATGAGAGATTTATTTACTTACTTACTTACTAGAGACTGTGTGTCCTGATACTTCCCAGACCGGGCCTTAAATTCTTGGGTTCACAAGCTCCTCCTGCCTCAGCTCTCCCTATAGCTAGCACTACAGGTGAATGTTACCATGCCTAATTCTGTTGATTGATTTTATTTTAATTAATTAATTGTTTGTAAGACTATTTTTTTGAGGTACCTTTGAATTCCCTACCTATTCAGTGAGTGAGTTCTGGTCTCTAAAAGCTGTAAGAATGAAAACATGGAAACACTTCCTGATAATCCAGAATAAAATGGGAAAGGAGAGGAAATAAGGATTGTACGTGTGCATGCATGCATGCGTGCATGCGTACAGACACTGGGGCAGATAATGCAGGTGTGTTTTACAGATGTTTCCAAGGATATGATGAGCAGGTCAGGTTCATTTACAAACTAACTTCTATTATAAATTCAACAAGAGCATTGTGATGGAGCCTTGTTGTGCTATCTTTTGAACTGTGTGTGTGTGGGGGGAGCTCATTTATGTTGAGAAGTGCCAGTTCCCAATCTCTGTTTTAAACTTAGCTCTTCTCTTTTAGGTGACACCCACCTATACAGACTCACTCCATATCCATCTGGTGCTCCTGGGGTGTACGCATGTCACTGCACCAAAGTGCGTTGTAAACACTTACCAATTTTACCTATCTACCTACCCTACATGTAATAGTCATCTTCATAAAACTTGAAATATATTCCTGAACCCAAAAGGGGAGTAAAAAAATGTGAAGCCAGGATTGGGATTCTGTGGCCATGATTGGCAGAGGCTGTGGGATTTGGGGTGAGGAACTCAGAGATAAACAGTCTTTCCTTTGGGTCACCAAAGCTGCGCTGGGAGGCTAGGCTGACTTGCTCCAAGCTCTGCCTTGATCAAGGTCAGACCTGGGAGTCCACACAGGCCGTCAGAGCCAACTGCACCCCTGGTGGTCCAGGTTTCTTCTATAGTGTCTCCAAGAACTGGCCAGCAGGATCTGGGTTGGAAAACCTGGCTTCCTTAGAACTAGGCTGGAGAAACTGTTTTCTCTTGTACTTGCTTCCAAGACATCAGGGCATTGAAGAGGAAACTTGTAGCTGAGGAGAGGTGCCTGGAATCCAGGTCATTTTGTGCATCTCAGGGGGCCACAGGAAGAGGGGTCTATCTCAAGGTATGTTCTCATCACACAAAAAGGAGGAGGATAGCAGTCAATCTGCATTGACAATTTGACTGGATTTGGAATCACCCAGAAGTCACACCTCTCTGCATTTCTGCGAGGCATTTCCAAAGATGTCTAACTCAGAGGGAAGAGCCATTCTGGATGTGGGCAGCACCATCCAGTGGACAGAGGTCCCAGGACTGAACAAAGGGAACGAAAACAAAAAGCATGCAGAACTCCAGGCTGCTTCGCTCCCTGGTCCTCTGCTTCCTGACTGCACACTCAATGTGACCAGCTGCCTTGTGCTCCTGCCATCGTGCCTTCTCTGTCAAGACGGACTGCATCTTCTGAAGCCCTTATGTTGCTCTTCTGGGTATTTGTCATGGCAACAGCAACAAAAATACTAAAACAATGAATGAGGTTAATCGTGTCTCTCCCTTCCCTTCTCGGTGGGGCAGAATGCCTTCAAGCTTAAAATCATCCAAGCTCTTAGAGCTAACCTTTCTTACCCACTAGCCAAACCTCCCAGTGTCTGCCAACTTGTCTCCCTCTGGGCATAAATGACTCCCATACTCATGAGGCCACCTGCTTTCCCTTTCCATAGAAACTAGAGAACTGGGGACTTGAGGGGTGTCACTGACAGGCCACCAGCAAGTAGGAAAGTACCCACAAAGGCCCGGGAGAGCTCAATGAAATCATCAACCCCTCCCCCACATACACTGATCGTATAGAGAGCTGGACAGGAGGAAGGGTTTTAAATCAGGATGAGTCACTGGGTTCAAAGGAAGCGATAAGTAAACTCGCACTCTAGCAAGCGACCTGAAAAGAAAGTCCTTGGGGATGGTGCTTAAACCAGAAAGCTTAAACCACTGTAACTACTCACAGTGTGAACAGTGTTTGCTCCTCGTTTTTCATGATTGACAGCCCGCCTTCGCCTTCTACCTTCCTTCCCACCATCCTGGCCCTCCAACTCTCCATTCACTGCTGTGGGATGTTCTGTATGTCCTGTGGGAGCCCATTCTCAGGTTCTTTGTGGCGTTACCCAGCAGGTCCGTATAGAGGATGATTGGGACCATGGGGCTGAGTGCAGGTGTTTGAGATGGTCTGCACTTGGCTGTGCTGGGGGATGGTCTGTATGTCAAGTTGCTCTGATTGGTTGATAAATAAAACCTGATCGGCCGTGGCTAGGCAGGAAAGATAGG